TCATTAGCCACTAGTTATCACTCCTTGATTTTGTGCCTAATAATGGCTGCAGATTAAATGTAAATGTAAGGATTTTAGTTTTTACCAGCTGGCAAGGATCCCCAGCTCAAGCATCAGATACTAAGAGTGTGTTACATACTCCATGGCACAGCACTGTCATTCCTTTCACTAGATGAAGATGCACTGCCATGCCCCAAGGTGGAGAATCAGATTATTGATTTAGTAACCTGACTGGTGTGCTGACTTGACCAAAAGATCCTGTACAACATACCTTTATAAAAGTTACATTGTCACATACTTCATTCAATAATTTAGTTTTCACATTACATGACCGACATTAAGCAATATTTACCTGCTTCTTCTTTAATAAACGACAAATCTTCTTCTGGATATGGGACTGACGGTTGCAACACTGAGCAATCTTCCGAGTTTTCTTCAGTATTAGGTGGTATATTATAAATAAATCTCTTTGCAGTTTGGTTTTTCCTTCTTGCTTTTCCAGGTTCTTGAACTGATTGTCCCTGTGTGCCCATGTCATTCCATACGAAAACTTTTCCCTCACCTTGAGATTCATTTTCAGCCATTTCAGGTGAGCTGTCCTGGACCCAACTGCAGTCATTCATTTGGTAGCTTTCCATTTGGCCCTCATCAATAGAGTAACCATCATTCTCAGTTTTTATGCTACTTGCCAAGTTGGTAAGGTTTCGTGTTGCCCAGAAGCTGGCAACTTTCTGATCCCTTGGAGACAACCCATCCCTACTAACAGATCTTCTGTTGTAATCCACTACAACAGTCTCTGGAGCTTCTGATTTTATACTTATGTTTAAGGCATCTTTAATGAAGTTGCGGCAGGACTGGACAACCTCCGTCATCTGAAGGTAGCTGGCCACTGACATCACTTCAATGGCATTTTGGCTCGTAAGCACGAGGTTACCAGAGTATAAGAAGTCCAAGATGACAGAAAAACCTTGAACAGCAACAACGTCCAAATAGGTAACAGTGGTTTGGTTACGGCTTTCTTTGTTTGTAAAGCAATACAGAGTCTTAAAGAAGCGGCTGCCTGCAACCAGGATGTTCTTGTGAGCTCTGAAGACCCTCCCACTCACCACAATATTAACATCACAAAGAATGCCTTTCTTCCTCTGCTCGTTGAGCTCTTGCAGGAGCTGGTAGCAGTAAGAGTTCTCATTTGGCCTGCTGTTAAAATCACAGTATCCTTCATTATTCAGTTCTGATGGTAACTCTGACTCCTGCAATTAAAAAAACCACAACCATAATTAGCTCTTAATAAATGCTCTCCTTAGTCCTCCAACACTATAATAAGGATATGAAAATAAACTTAAGAAGATAATGTTATTCAAAGCATTCTTTTTTTTAAATTTATGTTCTTGGTCATAAAGGCAGACAGGAATATGTAATTAAAAAAAAATATTTCTGAAAACTAAGAATCACGATCTCATTCTGCACCCTCCACCCCCAAATCTGGAACAAAACCAGAACTAGCAGAACTGCCTTGAGGGCAAAGGAAGTGAAATTTTGGCCAAAAGTAAGGAAATATTTAGTTGAGTGTGAAGCACTTGTTTTTCTTAACCCACATACATTGAAGATTCAGGAGTCTCACTTTCCAAAGATTTAACTAGACTGTTCTCACATATGCAACCCCCCCGTTCTTCCCCAGAAACCTCCATTTAAATGGGTAAGTACAACCTTGATAACTGACTCAACATTTTCTCATGCCGAGAGACGAGTACACAAAGATCAGGCCTGTATCTCCCAATCTAACTGTCTTACATGTTTTAAAGGAAACGTATTACTGAAGTAATTATAATAGCAGATATGTTTCTTACACAATTCTACAAATTAGGCACTTATTCTTTATTTTCTAATTGCGGCAGTTTTAGGATTAAATAGCTGTAGTACATGACAAGCAGACAGAACATTGCAGGTGACCAAATAAAATTGAAGCTTCCGTTACAATTAATTAACACAGACTTTCCTGAATCAAGCTTCACTGAAACCTTCAAGTAGCAACACCTTTAACTGGTACAGAGTTGTTATGCAGACAATATGTACTTACATGCCTCTCTACAACCTTTTTAAGACGTGATCTTAGACGTGGCTTGAAAATTTCGCTAAAAGTAGTACCAGACAATCCAACACCAAGAAATCAGTTGTCATTAAAGATTAGTTCAGACAGGGAGAGGCTAATAAAAACAAGTGATCTGAACTGGATTTTTAGAGCATTTTGAAAATTTATAACTGATGTTCAGATAGTGATGATTCAGAGCTGCTACAAAGCAGCAGCCAGAACAAAGCAGAAAACACCACAGACTGGCATATTTGAGATCATACTTGCATTGATTGATAGGTGCTGCCATCAAGAGCAGCAACGATGACGGAATCTCTTTTATACTGGGTCTCCAAGACTCTTTCCTTCCCTAGCAAATAAGGACAGTTCAATACTGGCTGGCTGCAATATGGGTTTGGATGAGAAATGATTAAGTTTTGCAAATTATGCCATTTTCTCTTCTCATTTTCTAAAAAACCTCACATATTTGGGGGCTAGAGGTATCATTAAAGCTTGACTACCCCAACATTACAGATCTAAAACAACATTAACAAAGTAACGTTAATGAAGTCATGAGCCCATAACCTATACTGGGGCTAAAACATGTTGCAGCAAAGTACTACCCTTAATTTGGGACTATACTATATATATGACTATATATAGAGTCACTTTACATTACACAGGAGTTAGTTCATGAAATCAGTACTCACCTCAAGTTATAATCCCAGTGTGAGTCACTGGGATGACAACCAAGGCTGTAACAACATCCTCTAAAATGGTATTTACATCTATAAGCAGCAAATCATGCCCAGCATAACCAAAATAGAAATTGTACCATTTCAGTATCTCCTGCAGAGAAATTTCAGCTTGCTGTCACATCAAGTTGCTTCTAAATCTCTAACCTTATCACAAAAACACTTCAGTGAAAACAAAATGTAGAAGTAAAAGCAATTAGGCTTTTCCATGAAAGCAAGCAACAGATTTTCGTCCAACCTCGGCTTAATCTTTTCTGGTGCTCTCTGACATACCCAAGTACTCCCTGAGATCAGAACTCTGAAACAGAAAGTATGTCCTAAACGTGTGAAAACGAAGTCTATCATTCTTTAAGTTCTCAGCAGATTTTGGATCTGGACTAGCTTTCTGCCACTCCAGCAACAGAGCACTGCATAGTTTCAAAACACCAATTACGCCGACTTTGGATCAGATTAAGATGAAAATTATCATACCCTAAAGTGTAGTCACTCAGTCAAAGTCAATCATCAGTGACTTGCATCTCACACAGTAAATGTTAGGTAGATGCTATGATAGCTGACAATTTCATTCTCTGAGAACACGTTAAACACCACATAAAATTTAAAAATAATCTGCAGTGGTTCTTTTCTTTTTACAAATGTCTCATTAAAGAATGGGGATAGAGTATTACATTTTAACTGAGCATGTGTACGTACCCAGTCAAGCTGATAAAAAAAAGATGATCAAGATTTATAATATATTTTTCCCCTCCAAGAAAACAAGTCAGCACGGTAAAAAGGAGCCACAGGTCACAGAAACACAAGACTGAAGTCTTCATTATGAAAAGACCTGAGGCTGAGTGAAAATAACAGACATCATGCAACTAATGTCCAAGCTACAGGGGTATGTGTTGGGGGTAAGAGCTCAATACTACAGCTTTATAGAAATGGGTGCATACATATTTTTAGAACTAACTGTAATATTGGAAACAACTGTTCAACTGCTCCTATGGAAGTAGCTAACACTAATGCTGCACCTCAAATGAAATGAAAGCTCTGACTTCTGAACAGCTATCAAGCCTATGTAAACCAAGTCTGACAAGCAGAATTAACATTTACTATGAGAAAAATGAAAAAAAAAAAAATATTCTTTGGAGAGTTTTAAACATCTCCCCTTTGTACAGAAAACGTACAATACAGTTCAACAGGAGGCAAGGTGCAGAAAATAGTTACAGAAAATTAAAAAAGTATATTTTCAAGCTTCTGTTACTTATGTTGTGCTCATGGCACATCATCACAAGGGTATCGTTATTCTGATGAGAACCACAAACTAATGGTATTTGCTTAGATGTCAATTATATTTTCAGAATACAGAACAAATTTTCCCATCACCTAACTTGTCTCAACACCAAATCACCTTATCCCTTAATAAAAACTGATAGCAAATCAAGAAGAAAAATCAGGACTATTTCAGTTTTATTTGTGGAATCTACAGCACTAAGTGTGAAAAGCTCCTCTCTGTAGGTGAGATTAAGCGGTCTAACAGAACAGAGACTGCTCAAGGAAACCAGTATCGTGCTCAGTTTCAATTAGACAGACTCATCTGAATATACCCAAAGATAAATGACTATTTCATATGTATAATTTACTAATAAAACTTGCCTAAAAGCTAAAATGAGCAGAAACAGACAATGAAAACCTGCTACTAGAAACTTACTTTTCTTTCCTCCTCCTGTGCCATCAGCATAGCCTGTTTCCTGGGAGCAAAAAGCAGGGGGGGAAGGAAAAAAAAAAAAAACCCAAACCCCCAAAAAACCCCAACAAAACCAAAACCCCAAACCAATCTAACCATAGATTCCATCTCAGCTGTATGTGTATGAAAAGTAGTTATGCCGCATTTTTGTAAACCCTTCCCTGTTACTCTACCTTACTCTACAGCAGTTTTCCTACGTCCCCAAATTAATTCTTAACCCAAAAAATGGATCCTTGAACAAAAGTGAGCTATCAGAAACTTTGAAGCATGTGCAGATACAGAGGAAAATTATCTCCAGAGATGGTCCTATCTGCTGCACTCATGATGCTCTGCTGCCATTTCACATGCCATAGCATCACTCACAGAAAACTCAGCAATTTAAAACTGTTCCATTAAGTGCCCAACATCCGATTGAGTAGTTCGAGGTCTGGTAAAAACCACTATATAAAAATAGAGTAAATGAGAGCCCTTACTCTGAAGGCCTGACTTCCGCCTCAACTTCTGTGCTCTGCTAACAGTAATTCAAGCAGTTAACTTTGAACACTATAATGTAACTCTTACATCTGAAGCACAACTTCTATTCGTTACTGCTCATACAAAGTAAACAATTACAGTTCACATGGAAAAAAATAACACATCAAAGGCCTTCCTCCTTTTGGAGAGCTTCTGCTTTAAACCAACATGCCTATTAGGCTGGAGAAAGCTTTTCTGGCAGCATTTCCAAAGCTCAGCTTCAAATTACGTCCAGAGAGAAAATGTTTTAAGAAGCAGCTTTGAGGGGAGGAACCCCCAGCAGCCAATAAATCTGCATCTCATGGATCTAAATTCACCACAGAATTAAAATCTTTTGCAGTGATTTCCCAGTAAGTGTCTATTTCTTGAGATTTTTGCACCACAATAGTCTACTTATTAAAAAAACAGCAGTAGTTTCAAGCTGATTATACCTTTCCTTAAGCTTTAAATATGGAGACAGATTATTTTAAAAAAAAAAAACAGGATAGAAAAAAAGGAGTCAAGATTTTTGTCTCAGAAAGTAGCACCGACTGACAGCTCAATACCCTCGAATTACAGCAGCTGCAACCACTTGTGATGTATTTTGGCATTCCAAATTAAATGTATCCCAAAAATAAACTGAAATCATCGCTCATTTCTTCATAAGTGTAATATCCAACAGACCTATAGAAATTTCCACTGCTTTACTGTCTTTAACACCTACAATTTCCTTTTAGCACTTGAACAGTGGCACTATGCCATATGTTTATTAGCAGCTGCTAAACATGCCCTGCAGTTGAAGCTTGTCAAGTCAAGAATACATGTGTGTTGTCTCTAAGACAAAGGCTGAAAGCTCTCTCCCAAGTTTCATTAAATCTAAATGGCTTTGCTGCCTCATTACGTATGTCGGAAATATGGTCAGGATACAAATTACCTACTTTTGTTCCATGTATCTGGTATCATGGCATTAAGGAAAAAATAGGGTTATTGTTTTGGTATTAATTTAAACATATGTATCAAGAGGAATTCAAGTGCTATTAAAAGTGTGAAAGGATACGGAAATTAAACATCAAAGAGAAAAGAAAACAGAGATTCTTAATCAGATTTGTGATAAAGCAAGTGTAACCCGAAAGCACACCACAAAGAAACCTACATTGACTTTTGAAAAACTACAACTCCTTCCCTTGTAAGAAGTTTTTAACCAAAATGTAATTGCACAGGGATGCATCCAGCACCGTTTTCCACTTGAAAACACCAATCCCTGTACAGCTATCTTAATAGAAGCTTACTTTGTCCAAACCTCACCTTTAATACAGTATAAAAGAACACTGACATATCTTGTCTACCCTACTCTTTAATTTATTATTAGTTACTACAAATACTTGGTCTTAAACTATCAGTGATAAAAAAACAGCGGCTCACTTTCATAGAAACTCCCATGACAATGAAAAGTTAATGTTAAGTATTTATTTGAAGATTAACTTTTAGGCTACTGTGACACACAAACCAATATTCTGTCCCCCCTTCCACCCTCCTGGTATTTTATAGTCTTATGACAGACTGGGGATAGGAAGACAGATAGAAAAAAATAGTAAGTTTAGTAGGAAAATCTGCTTGGAATATGTTTTACTTACTCACAGCTTAATGGGAGTGAGAAAAACTTTCGAGTGTAGCATGAATTAGCAACATCTAGTGACACAGGAGGCTACACAGCAGCAGGACATACCTTAACAGGGTAATCATTCACATCTCAAAAATCAAGAACTAGGCAACAAGATGGTAAGGAATATACTGCAATAACATTCAACAAAAAGAACATTTTCAAATGTACAGAGAGGTAAAAGTAATTAAGAATGAAAGTTTCAAAATTAGAAACAAGTTATTTAAGACAAGCTGGGCTAAAATACTGCAGAGTGAATAGCAAACCCCAGACTGGAGAAAACTGATAAGATGACCTACTGCCATGAAACGTCTCTAGCAACTGCTGCCTCAGAAACATGCTTACTGAAAAAGTAGCGTTACTCATCTTGAAGGTGAACCTTGCACTTACAAGTCCAAAAATAATATTTTGGATAACTGGTATTTACGCTCTGTAAGGTTTTCCTTGCAATCCTGCAGTAGTTTCACATGGAACTTGCATTCCTTTTCCAGCTAGCTCTAAGATAACCTGCGTTCCACCTAACATTTTGTCATCCTGATACCCTACCCAAACATTAGAATAGCAGCTCTTGTCCAAGGTACCCTGAGCTCCTTGAAGTGCTCCAGCAATAAGCCCAGTTTAGCTACTGCACTACAATTTGGACTCCAGATACATCTATACGACCCGGGTGGGTGTTTTAATTAAAACTGAGCTCTAAATAGTGAAAACGGAGTGATCAGGGATTAATTCCGGCTAACAGCTCAAATTCAGCCTAACAGTTCAAGTGCTAGCCTAACCTGAAGCACATTAGCTTGTGCCCGCTGGCAAGTTTAACGCCGCCGGCTAGGCGATCCGAGCGAGCTTTTGCAGCGCCGACACCCTTTAGGAGGGAAGGCTGCAGAAGGCTGCCGATTCGACCCGCGTTGTTCCTTAAGAGCTCCTCATCCACATACGTTCTGGAGTTAGCCCTGCCTTATTCCTAAGAGCAGCCAAGAAACACAGTAATTTTAAGTTCAGCGGGGAACATGAAGCGTTTTCACTGGTCCTAAAGCATTAGAGGAGAGCTGGCGTATTAACGTGGCTTTCAGGAAACCACATGTTTATCTCAAACACACACCAAGCAGTTGCAGACAATTCTTGCTCAGTAACTCAATCTAAAGCAACACAATCGGGAAAAGGATTTAAACGAGAAGGGCTTGACTACACAGCCTTATCCGATTAATGCACAGGGGCCATACCGTTAAGAACTGCAGCGTGACTCCCAATTTCACGCTGGCAAGTACCGGTTTCACACGCAGTCGACAGCCGGACACTACCCTCCCGCCTCCGGTACCGCAGGAGGAAGTTGTAACGAGTGTTTTTAAATCAGTGCAGCAACACTGGTATTCGTACGCAACTTTTTCCCACATTGCCGGCTTATCTTCACGAGATAAAGAGATAAAACTAATGAACACGGCACTCGCTACCTCCGAGCGGCGAGGCCACGGTAACCGGGTACAGCCACGAGGCTCCGTCCGTGCAGACGCTCCCCGAGCTGCAGAACGGGCGCGCTGACAGCGCCGTGC